TGTGCAGGCCACTGAGATGGACAGCTGGACCTGAGGGATGTTTTTAATGCAAAGGAAATGGAAGTGTGCCCTTGAAACCCTTGCCACTCTGGACCCAGCATTTTTGTTTCCCGGTTTGGGGAAATTGCAGTCAGTGTTAATAGTTCAGATACAAAGGGCCTGAGCTGGAACTGGGCATTTAGAACTAATCCCAAATTGTCTAGCACAGTCAATCCCTCATAGCAAAGTCAAGAACAATCTGAACCTAAGCCCCCAGGAGTCCTCAGATCTACTTGCTTGTCCATCCAGAGCTAGGCCAAGTTGGAATGGCCTTGGGGGTGGGAAGTAGCTACCATTGCCAGGAATGGCCGATCCGTACTTGAGACTGGCTCCTGATTTGCCCTGGCTGGCTTACTGAGAAAGCCCGGGAGGTCATGAATAGGAAGAGCTTGAAACTCAGCAGCCAGCTTCATTCCAGAGGTGGATGCATTCCAGTCCTGTCTGAGCTAATAAGGCCTTTCTGCAGATTGTCCATTTGTTTGCCAAGCACCTGGCCAACTTCCCAAGGGAAGATGCTTAGCAAAAGTGTGTGATAAGTGTCCGAAATAACAAGCTTATCCTCATGGCCAGCTTAGAATCTCTCAAGATGACGTGTGGTCCAATTACTCCTCCCCTGTCCCCGCTGCGGGACTGCGTGAAACAGGCTACTTGTGTTGATCTGCAGAACTTGACAGCCCCCGGGACCTCATGGTGACAGCCTCCTCTGAGAACTCCATCTCCCTCATCTGGACCAAGGCCAGTGGCCCCATTGATCACTACCGAATCACCTTTACCCCATCCTCTGGGATCGCCTCGGAAGTTACTGTGCCCAAGGACAGGACCTCATATACACTGACAGACCTGGAACCCGGGGCTGAGTACATCATCTCTGTCACGGCTGAGAGGGGTCGGCAGCAGAGCTTGGAGTCCACGGTGGATGCCTTCACAGGTATGAGGCAGCGGAAACCCTGTAGGAGCTCCCAAATCCCACTGAGCCAGAGGGAAGAGTCAGTGTGAATGGGGCATGGGTAGCCTACTCTTCTGGTCCCCGATTCCTTTAGCAGAGGGAAGAATGAGTTGAGAAGGAAGAGGTGAGGATGAAACTAACAAGTGCAAGCAGAAAGGGTTGTTGGACGAAAGGGAGAAGAGAACAAGGTTGCCACCGCACACCCTGCCCCGGCCCCCCCAAAAAATCTGTGTCTGGTTTCTCCTAACCTGGCCACAAGGTTGATATGTCCGTCTTTCCCTGTCTGTACTAAATCAATGAGCATTCATGGAATCGCTGAGATCACGTTAAATTCCTTCCAGGAGCAAATTTTCAATCCTGGATCAGTATCATGAGTCACTCACAGTAGTCCTTGGGATTTTCCCTGAGGAGGGGATTGCTTTTCCAGTACGTGCCTTGGGGAAACAGGAATGGACAGGAGAGTGAGGAGGAGATGGAGGCTCTGGGTCAGTGGCTGAAGGCGGAGCCCTCATTAGCAAAGAGAGCAGATCTCTGGAGTGAGTCAGCTGTTCTAACCCCGTGGCCCCACCACCTCACTTGTGCTTCAGAACCACCCATCCCCTTTGTTTTACAGGGTTCCGCCCCATCTCCCACTTGCACTTCTCTCATGTGACCTCCTCCAGTGTGAACATCACCTGGAGTGACCCATCCCCGCCAGCCGACAGGCTCATTCTGAACTACAGTCCCCGGGATAAAGAGAAAGAGATGCTGGAGGTCTCCCTGGATGCCACCAAGAGGCATGCTGTCCTTACGGGCCTGCAGCCAGCCACTGAGTACCTGGTGAACCTGGTGGCTGTCCACGGCACAGTGACCTCTGAGCCCATCATGGGCTCCATCACCACAGGTGCGGCTGGAGGGCGTGACAGCAGGTCAAGTGAAGGGGGTTCCCCCAGTAACCTTTGACAAGCCCATGAATATTTAAAAAGAGGAACACCCAGGGAGTGGGGGACAGCTTCATTTGGCTACAAAGGATCTGCACGCTGTTCAGAAACAGCTACCTATTCCAGTGCGACAACGGCACGGTAGTTGGAATCGTCCTCTGGAAGGTAAGGCAGACCCAGGATCTTGCAGGAGCAGGGCGTAGATGCATGATCCCAGAGGCCTTCCCACTGCCGGCCTGGGCGGCATCTCAGGTGAGCGTAGGAAGAGGAAACTCCTAATCTTTTTCCGGCAGAGCCACCTCGTGACTGGGTTCCGTGAGGTCTTTGCGACGCAAGACCACTGATGTAAATGATGCTTCCTCAGAGAACCCGCGTGAGACCACAGATAGGGGGATCTATTTGCATATGGTCTGGAAAGCACGGGCACCCTGAGATGCCCATATACAACCCCCAATATGAGAATGCAAGTGGGCGAAGAGCTCTGTTTAAAGCACTTCCTGTGTCCTGACAGAAACTCACCAGCCATGCCAGCAGATTAAGCAGCCAACTGAGTTCCACCCTGCCACTCACAGCACTTCAAAAAAAAATAAATAACGCATAGAGCAAAAGTGAACTACAGCTTGGGGAAGTGGATTTGTTCTGGACTTGTGCTCTGAAATCCTTCTATAACCACTAGACAGTTCTTCAAAATCGAACCAGAGGCAGCTGATAGAAACTAAGAGATAAAGGTGAAGTTGGGTTTTTCTAAGAGGAGTTTCCCAAGAGAAAAAGACCATATTCCACCTTCTCCAAGTTTGGAACAAAAGCATGAATGTAAAGGAAAGTTCTCAGTTGGCCCTCAGATAGGCAAGCACAGACTTTGACAGTTGGGTTTATGCGGGTTAAATATTCTCCTTGAACATGACTTTGGTCATGCATCTAAGGATCCAAGGGAGGCTTGGCCTGACTGGTTTTAAGGACACCCTGGTAAGGCTGCCACCCCCACCATCAGTAGAGGCTGCTGTGTTAAGATGCTGCGGAGGTTTCAGTGGTGCTTTCAGACTAAGACAGACAAAGAAGAAAGACCTGGCGTTCGACCTCCGACAACTGGCCATGAAGCCCCTGTGATGACAATGTTGGATCTGAAAGTTACGCTAGGGTCTCCGTGACTTGGGGTCAACACCACAGCAGCACACAATGAGAACAGTGCACAGGGAGGGCTTGTCTATCTCGGGGAGAGAATCGACTCTTGGTTACATAAAGCCAGGATTAGAGATTGCTTTTCACACTATGCTTTCTATCTTTTTCCACCACCACCTGGGTCCCTGCAGGAATTGATCCCCCCAAAGACATCACCATTAGCAATGTGACCAAGGACTCGCTGGTTGTCTCCTGGAGTCCACCGGTCGCATCCTTTGATTACTACCGGGTGTCATACCGGCCCACACAAGGTAAGATAGTGACCGGATTTCTCAAAGATGAATGGGCTTTGGAGCTGGGTAGACATGATTGTGGGAGAATGAACCTATTCCGAGGACATCAACCCCCTCCCCCACCCCTGCTCGCATGTTTCCTTCTCTCTGGGGTGAGCTCCGTTGGAATACATGTGTTTTAATGAGGAGCACCCCAGAACAGCCTGAGCTCACCACCTCCTCTCACAACGGGCTTGAGATATTCACCCAGAAAGCAGGTGCTTCACCAATGGGGGTAACTGATCACGGATGTCTATGTGGTATAGAGAGAGACAGATCCTCAAAAGAATCTTCCAAGACCCAAGGTCACATACACTTCCTAGAGAGGCCAGAGTTCAAGAAGAGTACCCTGAGGGAAAACTAAAGACCCACAGTAGCCAGATGGCGTCTTGGAGGGACCCACAGCAGCATGGCCCTATTTCTGCCATGCCAGCCAAATCATGAGTCAGCGAAACTTGGCCCTGACCTCCCCTGCATCCTGCCAGTCTGGCAGGTGCACGAGGCATTGTTAATGACGTGGAGGGCACGCTCACTTCCAGTGAGGGTGTGGAACAGCTTCTGGGGTGATCTTGTCTCTGAATTGAACTGTTGGTGGCCCTGCCTTCTACGCTGCCTTCAAGTCATGACCTCCAAGAAGACCAGCTTGTCAGAAACCAGCTAACAACTGGCTCTTCTGTCTGTGATCCAAATGAGGGGGTGGGACCAGCATGTGAGGTCTTTGCAGGCTCCAACATGTCCTGTCCATGAAGCATTTCTCTTCCCTGTGCATGGGGTGCTGGCTCCCTCACCCCTCTGTGCTTCATGACAGTGTGCTACCGTGCACTCCGACATGGACTGTACCAGGAGCCGCACTGATGAGAGATGTGTTGACTTCTAACTGTGGGCTCTGCTCTCCCCAGTGGGACGACTGGACAGTTCCGTAGTGCCCAACACAGTGACCGAGTTCACCATCAGCAGGCTGTACCCGGCGACCGAGTATGAAATCAGTCTCAACAGCGTGCGAGGCCGGGAGGAGAGCGAGCGCATCTGTACTCTCGTGCACACAGGTATACGCGCCGGCTCGCTGGGCATCCGTCCAGGGTCCTGGCCAAGCAACCAAGAGAAGAGGAAAAGGGGAAGTTGGCTAATAAGGGACCCTGGTTCTGGGGTCTAAGGCTGCCTTTCTGGGTATTTGTCTGACATGCGGTAGCAAGCAGAGCAAACTTTTTCTCTCTCCCAAAGACATTCCTGCCTAACACTAGAAGGGTAGAGAGTCCCTGATTTGGGTCAGGAATTGCCCTTCTGAGACATGACCTTTCAAAGACCCATAAAGAAAGGCAACTCCAGCCCAGACTTCGGTATCATGCCGGCCAAATCCATGTGATTGGTGAAAAGGTTTCGGAGGAGGAAAGGGCTGCTACACTCACATCAGGCATTGGAGTCAGGAAGGGCTTTGACCACAGGTGCCCCCCTCCCTCCTAAGCAGTAGCTGCCTCTCTGCTAGTTCTGAGCTCAGGAGAGGAAGAAGGCGCGGACCTCCTTCTGAAAAACCAAGCCCTGGGATGAGCCTGAGAGGAGAGCCCCTTCAGCAGCTCACAGGCTCCCCATGCAGAATGAGCACAGACTTGGTGTAGAAACCGCCACAGGGAGAGCTAACCCTTAGGCCTGGTTACCATGTCCAGAGTGCCTGGGAAGCGATCCAGCAGGCCTCATTAGGAGAGCACCTGGGTTTCCTGAGGTTGCTTGATTACCTCTGACAGCAGCGTGTCTTGGATGAGGGAAGGTGCCTTGGAATTCCTGATGACTCTTGTAGATTCTTTCGCAAGCCCGGAGCCAGGATCTTTAAGACAAAGACTGAACTTCTATTCCCTCAGAGGTTAACGACAGCACAAAGGTCTTCTGAAAACTCCACGAGATATTCTAATCTTCCCCAGTCTCTTTCCAGGCCTGCAACGTCAGACATCCCAGCCATGTTTATTGTTTTAATGTCATCGTACACTACCTATTAAAGTACCTATGGTCATGGAAGTATCAACAAGTATTGGCCAGGAGGGATGACCAGTGAGCCCAGAGAAGCTGCTGTCTGCTTTCTAAGGAGACCTTCGGTGTTGCCAACAGTCAAGCATTACGACTAGCCCAAAAGTTAGTGGTTAGGTTCACCCAGAGGCACCTCAGAAGGCAGGCCTGGCACTCTGCTTCCCACCCCTACCGCACCCCCGGGGCCCCAGCCTTGAAGACCCTATGGAGCAGTTCGACTCTGCACATACAGGAACGCCAGGAACTGAAATCAACGCAAGGTCCCTCCATCAACCCACCATCCTTGAATTTCTAGAAACTCGGGCTTTTTACTCACTCAAGGCAGTAAAACAGATTTCAAGAACCTCTTGCTCCTAAGTAAGAGATCAGAACTCGGGTCTGAAAGGCACTCCTGGGGGTCCTGGTCACAAGGAGCAAGCATGCCTAAAGTAGGTCTTCAATGCCGTACTTACCCAACCTGCCCTCCTCGTTCAAGTGCAGGCAGAGTTATCGTGGCAACCACCCAAGCCAGATGGCCCACCAAATGTCTTATTTGTTGTTGTTTGTTGCTGTTGTCTTAATTTGTGGTCAGTGGTTTTATACCTTTTTTTATACCTTTGGGAAGTAAATATTCTTTTAAGGTATCATATTTAATGTCAGAGAGATTGAGACCACCATTGTCTCCCAAGGATTTTATCTAAAGGCACAGATTATGCATACAATTCAAATTCAAAACATTATAG